GCCTACTGTGACCAGCAGCTGCTCTGCAGGGCAGGGGAGGAAATGGGCTTTTCCCTCACCGCCTGCTGTATCCTCCCTTAACATCCTTCACCACCCTGGGGGAGGCTGCGTGAGGGTGTTTGAAGAAGATGCTGGCACTGTTAAAAGCTATCATCTCAGGAAATCGTTTGTGATACGCCTGAACTCTTTGTCCCCAAACACCCACAGCCTGCTCCTTAAGGGTTCCTTGCCAAGAGGGGGGGCGGGGAAGGTTTTCAGGGAGGGAGGGGAAAAGCCTCCAGATCAGGGACCAGCTCTGTCAAATGGGGCACAGCTCAGTGTCCCACACGGGGCACAATCCGCCACCAAGTCCTCCCACATAATCCCTACTGAAATGTATCAATGTCGGGGGGGGGACACTTGTCCAGGAGCCCCAAAGGCTGTCCAGATCCAGTTAAAGGTAAAGGTAAAGGGACCCTGACCATTAGGTCCAGTCATGGCCAACTCTGGGATTGCAGCGCTCATCTCACTTTACTGGCCGAGGGAGCCGGCGTACAGCTTCCAGGTCATGTGGCCAGCAGGACTAAGCCGCTTCTGGCGAACCAGAGCAGTGCATGGAAACGCTGTTTACCTTCCCGCCAGAGCAGTACCTATTTATCTACTTGCACTTGCACTATGCTTTCGAACTGCTAGGTTGGCAGGAGCAGGGACCAAGCAACGGGAGCTCACCCCGTCGCGGGGATTTGAACCGCCAACCTTCTGATCGGTAAGTCCTAGGCTCTGTGGTTTAACCCGCTTCCCTGGACAGATCCATTTAGGACACTGCTATGGGCCCCTCCAGACATCCTTTTTTAAAAATCGTGCATTCAGGATGAATTGCACTTGTGACGCTGTCAGGGCGGTTAGACGCGATTCTGCTTTCAATAGCTTTTGTGCCTGCAAAACCTGTGGGGTAGTCATCCCACTCTGTTTCCAGAACTTCCAGCGGAAATCCTGACTTCCTTTGATGCCACAGATGATGGTGATGATGATGATTTTATTATTCCCGGGATGTAGGGGGGTGTCCTGCTTTTGTTGCGCTGTAGTACAAGATTGCCTCTCCAGATGGCAATCATAGAATTGTAGAGATGCAAGCGACCCCTCCAGGGTCATATTCTAGTCCAACCCCTTGCAATGCAAAAGAAATTCCGAAGGCTTAATTAAGACACTACAACGAGGAGAGTCTGCCATCCTCCTAGGCTGTCTGTTCCACTGTTAAAACAGCTCGTAGCCCTCAGAGAGTTCTTCTTAATATTTAGTTGGAATAGCGTTCCTGGTATTTGGTTGGAATCTCCCTTCTTGAAATTTGAATCCGTGGGCTTGCTCCATCATCCATGGGACAGCCCTTCAAAGATTTAAAGGTGGCTAGCATATTACCTTCTCTTTTTAAAAAACCTTTTTTCCTTTTCCTTTATTTATTTATTTAATATATTTATTACAAAATATAAGCAAAATATTGCAAATACATACATACATATATATTTCAGATAAGCACACATATATAAAAAAAGAACGAAAGAAAAAAGAAGGAGAAAAAAATAGAAGAAGAAGAAGAAAAGTTGGAAGAATTTCTTCCAAATTTATTCTACAAATATCTCAATGTGAAAATAATAATAAAATGTCACTGATTGACTTCCGTTGCTTACACTGCACTTCCTGTATACATTTTAAGCAAGATTGTATCTGTTATTCCGTATTTTCCCCATACAATCTCACACAAATATTCTATAGCGCAGATTGCAGCTATAACAAAGGCGGCATTTTCCCATCTCCGCCAAGCTAAGCAGTTGGCTCCTTACCTCTCTCGCCCTGACCTAGCCACTGTGATCCACGCGACGGTCACCTCCAGACTGGATTATTGTAACTCGCTCTACGTGGGGCTGCCCTTGAGACTGACCCAGAAACTCCAGCGGGTGCAGAACGCTGCAGCGAGACTCCTTACGAGTCACCCGGTGCTATACCAGCTGCACTGGCTCCCGGTGGAGTACAGGATCAGGTTTAAGGTGCTGGTTTTAACCTTTAAAGCCCTATACGGCCTAGGACCTTCGTACCTACGGGACCGCCTCTCCTGGTATGCCCCACAGAGGAACTTACGGTCTTCAAATAAAAACATCTTGAAGGTCCCAGGCCACAGAGAAGTTAGGCTGGCCTCAACCAGAGCCAGGGCTTTTTCGGCTGTGGCTCCGATCTGGTGGAACACTCTGTCACAAGAGACCAGGGCCCTGCGGGACTTGACATCTTTCCACAGGGCCTGCAAGGCAGAGCTGTTCCACCAGGCCTTTGGCAAGGGCACAGCCTGACTCCCTCCCTCGGCAATCTTCGCGGAGCTCTGGCCCAATGGTTGCCAGTGGCTTGAATTAATTAATTTTATAATGCATGATTTTAGAATGTTGTTTATGCTGTACTTTCTGTACTGTTTTATTGTTGTTAGCCGCCCTGAACCCGGCTTCGGCTGGGGAGGGCGGGATATAAATAAAATTTATTATTATTATTATTATTATTAATCAATAAGTTTACTAAATCATTCATAAATCCTTTCTAAACACAACCAATACTTTACATTTAATCTAGCATATTACTTCTTATGTCCAGATCCACATGGGAAAAGTCCCAAAACAACTAATAAAACGGAATGACGTGTGGACGGTCTCGTATAAATCCTGCACTGACACACGATTATTGCGTCAATGGCATAGCCTCGTGGGCAGGAGTACGAGGGTCATCAAATCCAGCCCTTCAATGGAGGAATATTTTGCCCAGGGCCCTGAGATTCAGAGTCCTGTGCTGTAGAAATTGAGCTATACATGTTGCAGAATACCACCCGCAGGGGGAAATGCCAGTCCATAAGACCCCGAAACCAGAACATAGCGCAGTCTTGACTGCACACGCTGGCAGTGGCTCTCAAGGTTTTAGAAGTCTCCTTTTGGGGGTCCATAACTGACCTCAGTGGCTAAGGGGGCAGAAGGTCCAGGGAACTGGGAGAGACAGGCAGCAGTTCCCTCGGCCACCCTGGAGACATTAGGCCATGTCTAAAAGGGCTGCGGGTGGCGCTGTGGGTTAAACCACAGAGCCTAGGACTTCCCAGTCAGAAGGTTGGCGGTTCGAATCCGCACGACGGGGTGAGCTCCCGTTGCTCGGTCCCAGCTCCTGCCAACCTAGCAGTTCGAAAGCAAAGTGCAAGTAGATAAATAGGTACCGCTCCGGTGGGAAGGTAAACGGCGTTTCCGTGCACTGCTCTGGTTCCCCAGAAGCGGCTTAGTCATGCTGGCCACATGACCCGGAAGCTGTACGCCGGCTCCCTCGGCCAGTAAAGCGAGATGAGCACTGCAACCCCAGAGTTGGCCACGACTGGACCTAATGATCAGGGGTCCCTTTACCTTTACCTAAAATTACTTCTGGGTCACCAGCGATCAGAGGAGGGGCTGACATTCATGTGGGGGGGGGCAGTGCAATCTTTGAGGCCCCTAATCAGGGCGCAAAGAGAATCACCACTGCGATTCCCGCACTGAAGCGGGCTGAGCTAGATAAGCTTTGGGGGTCCCTTTGGGCTCTGCAATTCTCCTGCCTGTCTCTCCCTTCTTCTTAACACCCAACCTGAAGAGTTGGGGCGTTTGCAAGCTTGGTCTCCTTCCGTTGGTCCTACTTAAAGGTTGCAACTCCACTGTTCCTTTTGGGTATCTACGATTGACTGAGGTTCCTGCATTTTAGGGGGTTGGACTAGATGACCCTAGGGTCCCTTTCTATAACTCTACAGTTCTGTGATACTTTCCCAGTTGGACCGATATGGAGCTTCATTTGAGCCCGGCCTTAATTCCAGAATCTTTTTTCAGCCCCAGGAGTCAGATCTGGAGCATTCAAAGGCCCCTGGGGACGTGCAGAGTACATTCCTCACTAAGCAAACAGCCCTGCACGTTATGCATTTCCGCTAGGGAACATTCGTCAGGTGCTTTTATATACTTTTAGACGCCTGCTAAATATATATATTTCAGCAAGCCAGCCTGTCCGGACGTGTAATTTAGTCATGCATAACTTGTTTTTGAATCCAGCTGATTTTTATCTGCGTGGTTATTTCACTGTTTTATGTACACAGCTGAGAGATTGGCTGATTATCAGGCGGTTTGTAAAATTTATTGAATAGTTAAGTGTGTGGACTAGATCATCCAGGGCGAAGGGCTTAATTTCTAAGCAGGGCTTAGAACCCCAGAACCTCTCTTTTTATAAATTAACCATGGACTGGACTGTCAATTTGTCTGGCTCAACCTGGCACAGACTCTAAAGGAGTAAAGTTTGCCAAGGCAAAAGAATTTTTAAAAGCCAGCCTGCTTTCCTGAGTCTGCCAAATGTCAAGCGTGGTGTGACAGATTTGGGTAGGGAGCCCATTATTATTTGCTACCCTGAGGGCAAAGACCCGAGTGCGAATCTGTACTCAGCTATGATGCTTACTGGGTGTTTTTTTTGGGGGGGGTGGGTTTCTGTCCACAGCCTCATTACCTGGCAGGCTTGTTCTGAAGATAAATGGGGATAGCCCACTCTAATGTACATGTGCGTTTTATCCTAAGCTGCACTGAGTTGTTTTTGTAAAACAAAAGCAACTGGTAAATTTAATTAATTTAATTTAACCCATTTTAACGTGTGTCTATTACTGTTGTAAGACGCAATTGTCAAGGGACCCCGAGGGTCGCCCGCTCCAACCCCCTGAGATATTCCCGTCTATTAAAAAGTGACTAATACGTGCAATTAATTGAGATCGTATAATTCAGTTTCTAAGAGGAGAACTTAACCATCCCCATGCGCAAAAGCGAGGGCCGCGGCGGCTGCCCAGAAAGAGAAGGGAAAACACTCTGCACGTGTGCAGGGGACCTCTCTCGCGCCGTGGCGCAGGAAGAGGAGCCCCAGCCCAAGAGAATGGGGGTCCCCCCACCCACGTCTCTACGGCTCTCCTTTCCCAAACGCGCAATGCGCCCCGATGCGTTGCTGCTCACCTCCGTCCCGGCCGGTCGATGGAGAGGAGGCGGGTGGTCTCTCCGGGGCTCCCAAGGGGGCTTCTGTCCGCCGCCGCCTGCTCATGCCGCCGCCGTCGGGGCATCGTGCCGGGCTCCCATCGGGGTCCCCCTCTGGGCAGGTGCGCTTGGCTCCGGGGCGCAAAGACGAGCAGGGCGCGCCGGCTCAGCTGCGCTCGCCCGGCTCGCCTCGACTGAGCAGCGGCTGCCCGGCGGCTCCTTTCCCCGGAGCCAGCCGCCCGCCCTCCTTCCCTCTCTCCCGGGGCGGGGAACGGGGGGTGGGGTGGCGGGGGGGGGGGGAAGCAGCCTTAACCCTCTCGTCGCCGGAGCCTCCGCGGAGAGCCCTAGCAAAACCGCGGAACTGGAAAGGGACCACAAGGGTCATCCAGCCCAGCCCCAGGCTGCGACGCGCGAATCTTTTGCCCCAAGCAGAACTCGAACCCACGACCTTGGGATCTAACGGCCGAGCTGTTGCAACCGCCGTCTAAGGAGCCGCTTCCCATTCTGGGGTGGGTATGCATGGGGTGAGGGCACCCCCGTCCCGACAGAGATCTCTCCCCACGCAAAGGCAGCCCCTTTGAGAGAAGGCAAAAAAATGGATGGGGGGTTTGAGAAGTATGCCCCCACAACCATTTCCTATATACCTTCCCTGGTTAATAGGAGTGCCCCCCCCAAAAAAAAAACCCTTCGTGCTTCGATGCCAGCCGATGGGAAATAACAGAAAGTTGTTGCGGACTAGCCGCATGAGTGAGCTTTGGTACTTTGAGCTCCGAAGAGTTTCCCTGGGTTGACGTGTCTGGAGGTGAGCTGCTGAAGCTGAACCCCCAAAGATGGGAGTGGGGAGGATCCCTTTCGGGGGGGGCGGGTTTTAACAGTTTGAGAGCCCTGGCTATCAGCCTGAAGTGAAGAGACTTATTGCTGGGGCTCATCATCATCATCATCATCACTTTTAATGTGTATACGGTGGTACCTCGGGTTACATACGCTTCAGGTTACATACACTTCAGGTTACACACTCCACTAAGCCAGAAATAGTGCTTCAGGTTAAGAACTTTGCTTCAGGATGAGAACAGAAATCGGGCAGCGGCAGCAGGAGGCCCCATTAGCTAAAGTGGTGCTTCAGGTTAAGAACAGTTTCAGGTTAAGAACGGACCTCCGGAATGAATTAAGTACTTAACCCGAGGTACCACTGTACCGCCTTTCTATTTTACAATATTCAAGGCGGTTTACAAGCTGAAGAAACCAAGAATGTACACCTTATAACAATCTAATGATAACAAAACAGCTTTAAAATAAGCAATCTACATCAAATAAAGTAACATTCAACCGTCATTAGAATAGTATAAAATAATAATATCAGCATATAAAAATTAAACGGCCTCTCAGTCTGTCAAGCATGAGACTCTAAATCTCAAGATCGTGAGTTTGAACCCCGTGTTGGGTAGGTGATCCCTGCATTGCAGAGGGTTGGGCTAGATGACCGCAGGGTCCCTTCCAATTCTACGATTCCAGGACTGTGGAGGTCAGGCCTGACTGGCTGGAACATGGGTTCACTTGGCAGCCCTTAAAAGCGGGGCGAAGCCTTTCAGGACTGGCCCCTCCTGAATTAGTCCATGGGGCGAATGAATCGCCACCCGCCCCTGAGCAGGGTTCACTTCCTCAAGACCAGCTTGGCAGCAGGATACCTGGGTGCAGGACCCTCGGCCCCGAGTTCGAGATTAACCTGATGGGTGCGTGCTTTGCCAGCCAACCCACGGTGATCATTAACCTACTACACAAAGCCGCAACGGTGCAGATGAGCACCTTCTCCAACGAAGCTGAAGTCTGGAAGATTCGGGGTGGAGAAAAGGAACTACTTATTCACACAAATGCATAGTTAACTGCAGAACTCCCTGCCACAGGAGGCAGTGATGGCCAACAGCTCGGATGGCTTTATTTTTTATTATTTTTTAAATAATATTTTATTAGGAAATTAAACAAAACATATTATCTTAAAACATATCATCCTTAATCCCCCCATTTTCTCCCTCCCATAAAACAACACCCCTGCCCCCGACTTCCCTCAGTTCCAGTCTCTGTTATCTCTATAAATGCTATTCTCTGCATGCTTACAAAATTGTAAGGTAAAGGTAAAGGTACCCCTGCCCGTACGGGCCAGTCGTGTCCGACTCTGGGGTTGCACGCCCATCTCGCTTAAGAGGCCGGGGGCCAGCCCTGTCCGCAGACACTTCCGGGTCACGTGGCCAGCGTGACAAGCTGCATCTGGCGAGCCAGCGCAGCACACGGAAACGCCGTTTACCTTCCCGCTAGTAAGCGGTCCCTATTTATCTACTTGCACCCGGGGGTGCTTTCGAACTGCTAGGTTGGCAGGCGCTGGGACCGAGCAACGGGAGCGCACCCCGCCGCGGGGATTCAAACCGCCGACCAGACGATCAGCAAGTCCTAGGCGCTGAGGTTTTACCCACAGCGCCACCCGCGTCCCTTACAAAATTGTATAAATCCTTAATTTATCTAACTGGTTATTATCAATAGAAAGTTTGTGAGTGTTTATTCAAAACCTGCCAAGGAGTCCAATTCACTTTGTTGCATCTTTTAGATATTTTGTAAAAGGTTCCCGTTCCTCTTTAAAGTCACGGTTATCCTTGTCCCCTAGTTTGTGTGTCAATTTCCTTTTTTGTATCCCAGTTCAGTTTATTAGCTCAGCAGTTTCTTTCCCTCTTTATTCTACCCAGATCTTAAATCTTAAATTATTATAACATTAAATTTTTACTTATAAAAAACCATTTTTTCATATTCTTTTATACCATTAGCTAGAAACCACTTAATTTCAATCCAACATCATTCTAACATTCATTAATTTTACAGTATCTCTGTAAATAGTCTTTAAATTTCTTCCAGTCTTCTTCCACTGACTCTTCTCCCTGGTCTCGGATTCTTTGTGTGTCTTTGTGTGTCAGTTTTGCCAGTTCTGCATAGTCCATCAGTTTCTCTTGCCATAATTCTTTAGTCGGGATTTCCTCAGTCTTCCATCCTTGTGCTATTAAGACTCTCGCTGCCGTTGTCACATACATAAAGATATTTTCCAACTTCTTTGGCAGGTCTTTTCCTACAATCCCTAACAGAAATGCTTCAGGTTTTTTTTTAACAAATGTTAGATGGAACATTTTCTTCAATTCACTGTATATCATTTCCCAAAATTTCTTAATTTCATTGCAGTCCCACCACATGTGGCAGAATGTCCCCTCCTTTTTCCTTACATAAGTTTGAGCTAGTTTTGTACATTTTCCCTAACTGCACCGGTGTCATATATCATTTGTACATCACCTTCATAGAATTTTCTTTCAGCAGAGAACAATCTGTAAATTTTAAATCCATTTTCCCAACAGCTCAGATGGCTTTAACAGAGGACTGGACAAATTCATGGGAGCGTAAGCCTAACAGTGGCTGCTGGTGTCTCCGCAGTTGGGAGACAGCGATGCTTTTGAATTCCTGGAAACCGCAGGAGGGGAGGGGGCTCTTGTGCTCAGATCCTGCTTGTGAGCTTTCCTCCGGAAAGATGGGTGACACCTGGCTTGAGAGCAGTACATGTGAAAAGGATCTAGGAGTCTTGGTTGACCACAAACTTGACATGAGCCAACAGTGTGACGCGGCAGCTAAAAAAGCCAATGCAATTCTGGGCTGCATCAAGAGGAGTATAGCATCTAGATCAAGGGAAGTAATAGTGCCACTGTATTCTGCTCTGGTCAGACCTCACCTGGAGTACTGTGTCCAGTTCTGGGCACCACAGTTCAAGAAGGACACTGACAACCTGGAACGTGTCCAGAGGAGGGCAACCAAAATGGTCCAAGGCCTGGAAACGATGCCTTATGAGGAACAGCTAAGGGAGCTGGGCATGTTTAGCCTGGAGAAGAGGAGGTTAAGGGGTGATATGATAGCCATGTTCAAATATATAAAAGGATGTCATATAGAGGAGGGAGAAAGGTTGTTTTCTGCTGCTCCAGAGAAGCAGACACGGAGCAATGGATCCAAACTACAAGAAAGAAGATTCCACCTAAACATTAGGAAGAACTTCCTGACAGTAAGAGCTGTTTGACAGTGGAATTTGCTGCCAAGGAGTGTGGTGGAGTCTCCTTCTTTGGACGTCTTTAAGCAGAGGCTTGACAACCATATGTCAGGAGTGCTCTGATGGTGTTTCCTGCTTGGCAGGGGGTTGGACTCGATGGCCCTTGTGGTCTATTCCAACTCTAGGATTCTATGATTCTATTCTATGGTTCCTGTGAGGACAGGATCCTGAACTAGGTAGGCCCTTGACCTGACCCAGCAGCCAGGGTTTTATTGTGTTCTTGCGGAACCTCCAGCTCCAGAGGCAATCTACCCGTATTCCTAGGTTCTGAGGGGCATTTGGCCACCATTGAGAACGGAAAGCTGGGTGAGATATAATAATAATAATAATAATAATAATAATAATAATAATAATAATAATAATAATAATATATTTATACCCCACCCATCTGGCTGGGCTTCCCCAGCCACTCTGGGCGGCTTCCAAAAAAATATTAAATTGCAGTAATGCATCAAACATTAAAAGCTTCCCTAAACAGGGCTGCCTTTAGATGTCTTCTAAAAGTCTGGTAGTTGTTCTTCTCTTTGACATCTGGTGGGAGGGCGTTTCACAGGGCGGGTGCCACCACCGAGAAGGCCCTCTGCCTGGTTCCTTGTAACTTGGCTTCTCGCAGCGAGGGAACCGTCAGAAGGCCCTCGGCGCTGGACCTTGGTGTCCAGGCTGAATGATGGGGATGGAGACGCTGCTTCAGGTATACTGGGCGAGGCCGTTTAGGGCTTTAAAGGTCAGCACTTTGAATTGTGCTGGAGTGTTATGTGATCTCGGCGGCCGCTCCCAATCACCAGTCTAGCTGCCGCATTCTGGATTAGTTGTAGTTTCCGGGTCACCTTCAAAGGTAGCCCCACGTAGAGCACATTGCAGTAGTCCAAGCGGGAGATAACCAGAGCATGCACCACTCTGGTGAGACAGTCTGCGGGCAGGGAGGGTCTCATCCTGCGTACCAGGTGGAGCTGATAAAC